CCCCCCAGGCCTTCTCCACACTATTGTCTCTGTTCATGGGTTTTGCATATATGCATATAAGTTTTTTGATTAATCTCTCCCCCCACTTCTCCAACCCCACCTTCAGATGAATTTCAGAGGTATTTTCATCTTTATTTTTTAAATTTATTTTATTGTTGAAAGTATTACAGATGTCCTCCATTTTCCCCCCTTTACTCCCTTCCCCCCATCTCCTACCCTTCCTTAGGTCTTCACCTGTCTATCATCTGTGTCCATGGGCTGTGCATATATGCTTATAAGTTCTTTGGTCAATCTCTTCCCACCCTCCTTTCCACCTTCCCTNTGTGTCTGTGGGCTGTGCATATATGCTTATAAGTTCTTTGGTCAATCTCTTCCCACCCTCCTTTCCANTTTTCTCCCCTTTACCCCATCTCCCCATGTCCCACCCCTCCCCGGTTCTTCCCCTGTCTATTGCGTGTACCCATGGGCTGTGCATATACGCTTATAAGTTCTCTGGTCAATCTCTTCCTGCCCTCCTTCCCGCCTTCCCTATGAGATCTGTCAGTCTGTTTCGTGCTTCCATGTCTGTGGTCCTATCTTGTTTGTCAATTTATTTTGTTCCTTAGATTCCACATATAAGTGAGATCATGTGATATTTGTCTTTCTTGGACTGGCTTATTTCTCTTACCATAATATTCTCCAGGTCCCTCCATGCTGTACCAAAAGGTAAGGGATCCTTCTTTTTACAGCTGCATAGTATTCCATTGGGTAAATGTGCCACAGCTTTTTTATCCACTCATCTACTGATGGTCACTTGGGCTGTTTCCTGATCTTAGCTATTGTAAAGAGTGCTGCTATGAACATAAGGGTGCATATATTCTTTCTGATTGGTGTTTTGGGATTCTTAGGATATATTCCTAGAAGTGAAATCACTGGATCAAATGGCAGTTCCATTTTTAATTTTTTAAGGAACCTCCATACTGTTTTCCATAGATGTGTATTCTGTCTTAATTCCTAGGGTCTTGCAGCCTGAGCTCTGTTTCTAGACCCCCACACTCCCTGTACTATTTCCTTTCCCTGCCCAACAAGAAAGAAGGGAGAGCAGAAAACTCACTTGCTGTTAGGAGGAAGGAAATGTACAGATCATCTGGCAGCAGAGAGTCCTTCATGTCACGGAAAAACTCCTTGAGAAGTGCGGCAACATCGTGCACATTCTGAGTGTCATCCAACACTACATCCAGACCTTGATCAAATTCTTCCCGGAGCTATAAAATGGGAGAAAATGCATGGACTGTCTGCCCTGTCCACCACAGGCTCCCTCCTGGTCATTTCTTCAATAAGTTTCAAACTTCAGTGGAGGAAGCTGGCAATATGATGTGCCTTCTACATGAAACTCCCTTCAGGAATTTGGGGGAGCCCCCACCTCACCTGTTTTTTCTCACTCGAAGAACAAGTGTAAACAAAGCCAATTTACCTCACGCACTCTCTCCTTGGAGTATTCCAGGGTGAAAATCCCTATTGTGGTTAAGCCTGAAAGAAAAGAGCAGGTATGCTAAGAATCTCTGGTCCCCTTCCCCAGGGCATTTCCCTTCTCCCAGCTGTATCCGGACCCCAACTGGTGGCAGAGGAATGTTCCAAGTCCTTCATCCTGCAACCCATTTTATTTCCCTATTTCTAGAACAGCATTTCTTCCTTTTAATTGCCTTCTACCTTAATTTGACCATTATTTTCGTCCCCCTTACCATGTTTCTCAATGAAGCTGCAGCAAGCCTCAACAACCTTGGGGATTTGCTTAGCAATCGGATTGAGGCTCATTTTCATTTTGGATCCCAGAAGTCGCTGGCCAATTGGAAAGGAAATCTTGGAAAGTTGCAGGGTCTGCAGCAGCAAGGCCCCGTCCTCCAGTTCAGCCAGGCTATCCACAGATATTGCACCCTGTGGAGAACCCAGACTATCTTAAAATGGGGAACCTGAAAGGTTGCTTCAAACCTTCCTGAAGACTGCATCACATTCATAATAGGATACATTCTTTCTGTGGCAAGCCAAGTACATGCTTCCAACATGTTCTTTTCACCTCTCCCTCCCTCTGAGGACACAGGCCTTGGCCCTCCCGACCCACAACCCTGAATATCTCAGGAAAGACCTCTGCTTGAAACCTGGAGGGTTCAACTCACTCGGCGCCCACGGCGAGTGAACTCCCGGGGTAAGGAGGGTTCTTCCCGTCTGCGACTGAAAAAGCGCCTCACTCGGCCAAGCATCCTTCGCACCACGTTTCCCCGACGACGGCGGCGGCCTGCAGTCTGACCCGTAGAATCTTCAACCTGCATAGCGGCTCTCAGTTCAAGTTGCTTGCCGCGGGCAAACTCATTCACCAGCACCTCTTCCAGACGAACGCCAAACGTCTTGAGTGATACGACTGAGGAACCTGGGATAGAAAGACTGAGAAACGTCAACGTTCAGCAGCTCTTAAATCGGGAGGAACTGCCGGAGCTCTAGCACTCCTCTAAGCAACCTCTCGCAGCCAACCCCCACCCCTCGCGACCCGTCGCGCCCCTCTCTGGGGAGTGAGCCAAAAACACGCAGCTTTTTTCAACTACCCCGACGGAGCTCAAGATCCCTGCCCTAAGTCCTGCCAGGGGGTGACTACCTTGAAGCAATGCGGAAAACTTCTTCTGGGCAATCAGTCTGGGGTGGATTCTAAGCAGGAAGGCTTAGGCAGATCTGCAGGGACCGCCCCTCGAGTCCCCGCTGTTATTGCTCCACTTCCTGACCCCCCCCCCCTTGATTT